GATGACCAATTTCAGCCCGGACGTATGAAGGGGGGCAACCATAAATGAATGAGAACATTTATTTACCCTACTTCTTTACAAAGGCTTGAAAACCCAATGGGGCAAGGAAGCGAGGTCTTCATGCCCCACATCGTGTAGTATGGGCGATGACAAAGGAATGAATCTTCCCATTATGGCACGGGAATCTTTGTTCTTGATAACCGTGATTCCTTCAAGAGGGAGAATCCTCATCTCTGAGAATATGGAGATAGAAGCGAGACAAAGGCTTTCATCGACCTGTATCACACCCATGCAACGCAACACAACACAACGATCACGCTTCTCAAAGAGCCCCTTTTCCAGGCGAGACTGAAGGAACCAATCCGCACGAAGTGCCCCGGGGAGATCGACCAATGGGATCCAAGGAGAGGACGTGGAGGCGGGACCAGGAGTGCCCACAGGGGGCTCCTCGTGTCTCATGGACCTGACAATGGGATAGTGTTTCACCTGTCTCCTTCCGTGTTACCTCCTGCGATGAAAGTTCCCCACTTACGACGCATCATGGGGTAAATCAGTGGCGGATCATGAGTGCAGAGAATCGATATAAATGAGTGCATGATCATGTGAGCAGAGAACATGGCCAGTCTCCAGGGGAGAAGCGAAATCCTTCTTCTGTTCTTCGCCTTCCTCTTTCCCCCAACCCTCGCTGTTCGATGGCTGTAAGTATCACCTCGGCGGTATTTCAAAAACGGACTCGATACCTCTGATTCCCTTGTTACGATGCCATGATGCGAATACGAGCGTTGAGGTCTCCGATTCTCCAGTGCAAATACCTCTTCAGGAGAGGGGGATCACGACTTGTAGAAGAGTTATAGAGATTGAGTACCCTTACAATGATTTTGGTGAACGAAATTCGCATGACGCTTTTCATTTATTTATTTAGAAATATATTACTTGGTGAAATAGTAGGCAGTTATGGTAAGGTAACTCTGGAGGGACTACTAATATTAGGGTCGATGTTGGATGAAAATGTTTATCTATTAAAAAAAAAGAAGCTTACAACACCTGCAAAGATAGCGGACGTCATTTTCCAGTATTTTATTCAAAAAATTTCCAAGCTAGAAACAAGGAATTTCGTCAGGTTGACGTACGATTCGAAGAAATCGGCCAACAAATGCTTCTCAGTTCGGTGCAAGGACGACCTCATTGCAATGTTACCATTGAATATTGAAATCAGCCCAATGCTGCTTTTGTTCATACAGGTCAGCTACGGAAGGTCCTCACACGGAAGCAGCAAAATGACGAATTTTTACTTTTCCAGGAATGCGGACGGTATCCCCCGCAGCCTTGTAATATCGTATTATATTGAATGGTTCGATCTGGGCCTGCTGATATTGATGTGGTAAACTTGAGAGTTGGTCATGGAACGACATTTTCTTGCTCGATTTGAATCCGGAGTCATATTGCTTGAATTTTTCCTTTCAGCATTTTTTTAAATTAGTACATCTCGGTACAGTACCGAGCGAATCTCGGAAGTGGAACGTCACTGGATTGGGACTGGACATTCGAAGTCAGATCTTTATCCGAGGAGTTTTAAGCAAGTCGACAAAAAAATGGGGAACTTAACGCTGAATATCGACAGAAGCGGAAGCCCGCTCTCAATTCTTTGAAGGCTGACTTCGAAATAAAATAAAGAGGAAATATGGTGGGGAGAGTTAAAAAAAAAAAACAACAAAAACAAACGAATAAACAAGGAAATGTGACCTCGAATTGAAAAAATCCGTTGCTGGTTCGAAGGACGGGGGATTAAGGATCATCCGCGTGTAAGCTAAATTCTCAAACAGAGGGAAGCGGCCAACTATTTTGTTAAATATTGTATCGCAGTCAAAAAGCCCCAGGAGAGAAGGGGATCCATGTAGGTTTTCATGCAAATCGCAATCACTTAAACCATACTCAGACTTTTAATATTTTTAGACAGAGCATGCGCGATTCTCGTCTTCCGAGGATCAAACGCGAAATGAGTTATATAGATGTTACGTTTTCTTGAAGAGCGTCTTCCTCATTCATGACAGAGAGAATGCGAAACTGACTCATGAGTTTTTTAGCTATGCCCGGGGAGAACGCCGAGAAATCCGCTCTATACCGGCCGAAACTGTTCAAGGATCGAAATGGACAGAGTTTCGGATCCCATTCTGATCGCTTTGGCCTCTATGGTTTTTTAATATCGTATTGTAGTGTCCAGCGGAAAAAAAAAGCTCGACCTGGTTTTATCAAGGAAGTATGCTAAGAAATCTTTGCACTGGGTGGAATCGAGGGGAAATCTTGGCTTAAAATAAGCTTAAAATCTTGGTTAAAATTGGCTCCATCGAAACTATCGCAGACGTGCAGGCCCATCTGCAAGCTAAGGGACATGAACCTGTTTTTCCCGAGCCGAAAACGGCGCACGATGAATTGGATCCACCTCTGCAATCGTACCAGAGAAAAAAAAAAATCAGCCGAGATGATGAGCGAACTGGCTCAAGTCTTGATTCCTCATCTCTTCCGGACTTCGCGAAAAGAAAATTGCGGTCTGATCGATTCTACTCGCACTCGGATCGATTGCTCGGGGTCGTCCGAGGCGATGCAGAGGTCGAGAGAGTCGAGATGGAGATTTCTTCGCGACGTATCGTCACTCCACTAATTCTACGTATTTTAGTGCATGCGAAAGATTATAACGCTCTATGACGTAAGCAGCCTGAAATTCATCTTTTCCTCGTTGAGCTCTACCATAGCGACATACCCCCACCCCCTTCTTCTCCCCCCCC